GAAAGATCTTTGGAAGACGCAGGTGCCACCTACATCCAAATGCAAAACACTTACTTCTCTCTCCGACTTCCCTTCTAAATCGTCCATATTCAAAAATAGTGTGCTTTTCTTCTTTTTTTTAAAATATATTTTATTGATTTTTTACAGAGAGGAAGGGAGAGAGATAGATAGTTAGAAACATTGATGGGAGAGAAACATCGATCAGCTGCCTCCTGCACATCTCCCACTGGGGATGTGCCCGCAACCCAGGTACATGCCCTTGACCGGAATCGAACCTGGGACCTTTCAGTCCGCAGGCCGACGCTCTATCCACTGAGCCAAACCGGTTTCGGCTGTGTGCTTTTCTTATACTCCTTCTCCGGGAACGACCTAAGAGCTGGACATACCTTTCTATCAGCACCGTCAGGAGTGTTTCAAAGCAGCTTTCACCCCTAAGAGATGTGAAAGCAACAGTTCGATGAAACTAGGAAAAGAAGAGAAGAGGCCAGTCTTGGAATTTTATTTTCTGTCAGTGTCAGCCTCATGATGGGACAAGGGGAATCATGGGTAAGGGTTGTTCCCGGCCCTGCCTGGTGCGTCTCAGTCGGTTGAGCTTCGTCTCATGTACCAGGAGGTTGCAGGCCCAATTCCTGTCATCCCTGCACATGCCCGGGTTGCGGGCTCGATCCCGGTGTGGGGCGTGCAGGAGGCAGCCGATCCATGATTCTCTCTCCTCATGGATCTTTCTCTCTCTCTCCCCCTTTAAAATCAACAAAAACATAGTTTAGGAAAGGGATTGCTATGAACCTTTGCAGTTCTTCTGAAGCTTGGGGTTTCTCCATTTCTTACGTGTAATTCTAATCGTTGATCTTGGTATTTTTTTTTTTTACTACAAGAAACAGCCCTTTGAAGGAGAGGCAGTTTCAAAGATTCAAAAACGGAGGGAAATCACGGAAGAACGGGGAGACGCGGATTAGCATTCACATGTTTATTAGTGCCAGCTCACCGGAGTCATGAGCTGTGGATGCAGGTACTCACTAGACATTTCATGGGTGGGGAACATCACATCCTGGGGACAGCTATACACGTTAGAAAATAGTTTCTGTTTTTTTTTTCTTGTTCTTTGGTTAAATGTGGCCCCCCTCCCCCCCCCAAAAAAATATCTTTCAATAACACTGATTTGCTGCCTTCCCTTTGTCATGTGATTTCAAATACAAGGGTGACGAGGGCTCTGTCCAGTCCCGGGAAGGGTCACTACGGAGTTAAACTTTATGTTGAAGTTACAGTTGACTTTATTTATTACGCCCACAGAACGACAGTTCTCTTCTCAGCCTCGTGAAAGCTGGGTGCACTCGACTCCTTGCTCGAGTGGGGCCTTGGGGAGTCCCTTTCAAGGCACCCCAGCTGAAGACCGAAGAGCAATATGGATCAACGTGAACAGACATGTGGTGAAGTATGCATAAATAGTTCTTCATAGAAACAGGACAAAAAATTAAATAGCTCAGAAACACAGACGACACAAGTAACCGCCCCCCCCGCCCCCCCCACTCCCCATGGTCGTCAAAGTCACCTGTAAACATCAGCTCACATGGACACAGAAGCGGCTCTGGCCCCGCCCCTCCTCACGGAGGCCTGTACAAAGGTGAGATGTCCCCCCCCTCCCCTCCCCTCCCCACCCTCTCCCCACACGACCCCAACAATGATAGCAGCAACAAAAATGATACCAACAGCAGCGCCCCCACCCCACGCCCAAATAGAACATTTAATATTTTGGTCAATTCAGAGAAGAATAAAAAAATCATTTAAAAAAATGTAAAAAAAACCCCCAACAACCCCCAAATCCATTTGAAACATGACTTCTCAAAGTGTCATGCTTTCTGTAGAAGACACGTGACTGCCTAAGCCCCACCCCCCAGGTGAGGCCACAGGATGGACCAGGAGGCGCTGGGCAGAGCTACGTGACCAAGGGGGAAAGCTTTCACCGGGGTGATGCCAGCCGCTCCTTCCTTCGCCCTCCCTCACGAGCCGTCCTGCTTTCCCACACACACCGCTGTGCGTGACTTTCCCAGTTCAGGTAGCAGCAGCCCGGTTGGGGCACATTCAGTATTGGACAATTCCATTCGAACCTGGGGATGGGGTTCAGTGTTTGAGCTCACAGGGACCCCAGGGGATGGCGCTCTGCTGAGGAGATCAAAAAAGGAGATGGTGGACACTCAGTCTGGCCGAGTCCTGGGGCTTGACCTTGAGCCCAGGCTGACTCCTCAGCCCAGATCTGCGGGAAGGCCGGGCACACTCCCCAGGGTGGTCTTTGTACAACAGCCCTGGGTTTGGAAACATTGCTCTGGGTTTGGTTCGCCTTTAGGTTGTGTTAGGGTCTGGAGAACTTCAGTTACCAAAGTTCTGAAAGCATGTCTCGTGGGAGTAACTTGCCAGTTCGAGGAGTCCCGCTATATCGTATACATGATGTGTGTGTATGTGGAACTCACACACACTCACACGTATCCATATCCTTACATGTTTATTTGTACAAAACTTGAACTGCACCAAACAGGACTCGGCAGGAATCAAAAATCAAGTCCACAAACAGGGTTTCACAACACACCAAAGAGGAGACGGACAGCTCTACTGGGGCGAGAAGGTGCAGCTTAGCGACGGATGAAACCACCTCAGGGCCGCGGAGGCAGTCGCCTGGCCCCGTCCACGCGGAACCCGAATCCACACTGTTGGGATCCGTGCGAAGGACGCGGCACCGAGGGCAGCCAGCTGTGTGGCCCTGAGATTCCAGGACTCACGGACAGGAAAAGAGGCAAGCATGGGTGTCGAAGGGCCATGAAGCAATTTTTTTCCTCTTTAAGAAAAAACACTTGAAGTCTATTTCAGAGTCACTTTCTTTATATTCAGTAATACGCTTTTTCCCCCTCTGAATTAATATTTGACTTTTTTTGTATTAAAATGAGTTTATCCAATGGTTCAGTAAACAGGCAGCTTTCTCATCTGAGCGATAAGAACATTATTACCAGGAATCATCCTCCCCCACCCCCCACGGACGCCCTCCGAAGGCCTGTGGGCTGGCGTGTGTGCTTGGTGACGGCCATTGACCAAGTTCACTCTACAGGTCCTGCTTGGGCGCACACCTGTGGAAGGTCGCGGCCATTGACCAAGCTCACTCTATAGGTCCTGCTTGGTTGCACACCTGTGGAAGGTCATGGCCATTGACCAAACTCATTCTACAGGTCCTGCTTGGGCGCACACCTGCAGAAGGTCATGGCCATTGACCAAGCTCATTCTACAGTTCCTGCTTGGTTGCACACCTGCATAAGGTCATGGCCATATACCAAGCTCACTCTACAGGTCCTGCTTGGTTGCACACCTGCAGAAGGTCATGGCCATTGACCAAGCTCACTCTACAGGTCCTGCTTGGGCGCACACCTGCAGAAGGTCACGGCCATATACCAAGCTCACTCCACACGTCCTGCTTGGTTGCACAGCTATAGAAGGTCATGGCCATTGACCAAACTCACTCTACACGTCCTGCGCGGGCACACACCTGTGGAAGGTCACGGACTGCCGCTGCTGGTACTGCTGCCTGCGCCGCCGCCGCTTGTCGCACTGGCAGAGCAGCAGCGTCTTGAAGGTGGTGCGGAAGGTCTTGTTGCACAGGGCGTAGCACACGGGGTTCACCGTGCTGTTGATGTAGCACAGCCAGTAGCCCAGGTTCCAGTAGTTTTTGGGGACGCAGCTGCCGCAGAAGGTGTTCACCAGGACCATGATGTTGTAGGGCGTCCAGGTGATGATGAAGGCCAGCAGGATGGCGCTGAGGGTCTGGGCGGCTTTCTTCTCCTTGATGAGCGACATCCGCTTCCGCTTCGTGATCTGGCTCCGGGTCTTCAGGGCAAACCTCTTGGCCAGAGTGGCCTCCTTGGAGGACAGAGGTAGCGTGGCCGTGGACCTCCCCAGGGAGGAGTTGGCGTTGGGCGTCTTGGCCGGGTCCACGGCCGACTCTAACTCGACGGGGAGCTTGGAGAAGCTCTTTTGGAAGCGGCCTCCGTCGTCCACGCTCCTCTGGGCCTGCAGCTTGCTGGCTTTCCGCTCCACGCCCGCCGTGCCCAGCTCCTGGTCGGGCACCCGCAGGCTGTCTGGGGACGGTGGCCCGGTGGAGTTGAGGAGGGTGCTGTGCCCGGGCAGCTTGAGCACAATGGAGTAGATGGCTCTGGTCTCCGAGCCGATGTCCTCCTCGTCGGAGGACACGGAGTTTTCCAGGGAGGCCGCCGCGTCGTTGTTGTTCCAGCTGTCGCTGCTGCTGTGGTCCTGCTCCACGCGCTGGGCGCTGGGCGTCCAGGTCTTGGTGGGGAACCAGAAGTCGCAGCAGCCGCACCGCCGGCGGGCCGAGCGCGCCACGCTCTGCTGCTGCAGCTCGTAGCTGCTGCAGCTCCGGGAGCTGCCCGTGGTCGGGACAAAGTTTTCCGCCTCTGCTTCCGTCCCGGAGGCCTGCAGCCCGGCCAGCTCTTTGGTCCGCTTTTCCGTTTCCTTATAGATCCTCCAGTATAAGATCGTCATGATGGTGACGGGCAAATAGAAGGCGGCGATGGCCGTGCCGAAGGTAATGGTGGGCTCGCTGAGGAACTGGATGTAACACTCCCCCGGGGGCACGGTTCTCTTGCCCACGAAGTACTGCCAGAACAGGATGGCGGGCGCCCAGAGGACGAAGGAGATGACCCAGGCCAGGCCTATCATCATGCCGGCTCTTTTCGTGGTCCTTTTGGCTCGGTAGGTGAGCGGCCTGGTGATGGAGAAGTACCGGTCAAAGCTAATCACCAGCAGGTTCATGACGGAGGCGTTGCTGGCCACATAGTCGATGGAAAGCCAGAGGTCGCAGGCCAAGTTCCCCATAGCCCAGCGATTCATGATGATGTAGGCCGTAAACATGTTCATGGAAATGACCCCGATGATCAGATCGGCGCAGGCCAGGCTTAAGAGGAAGTAGTTGTTGACCGTCTTCAGCTGCTTGTTGACCTTGAACGCCACGATCACCAGGATGTTGCCAATGATGGTCAGCAGGGCCACGACCCCCGTGAGGACGGCAATCAAGACCACCTGCCAGACGGTGTGGCCTCCCAGAGGGTCGCTGATGGTGCCATTGGCAGGACTGGCATTCCCAGCTGCCTGAGAAACGTTGTAGCTGCCAGAATCAGTGCCCGCGCCCGGGGGCAGCCCTGCACCTGGGGAACCAGGTACCCAGAGGGAGCTGAGGTTTGGCAACAACGGCAACGTTGTATTGTTATTATGCAAGTTCATTGTGACTCTCGGACATAGTCTGGGGAGAAAAGAGAGAGAGAAAAGAGTTATCGTTTCAAAAGGAACACGTGACTTCCTAAACATCAGGAGGTCTAGGTGGGACTCAAATGAAATAATGATAAACCCAGGCCAAAAGCCTTCTGTTTAAGGTGCTTTTTTCCTGAGAAGAGAATTATCATCTCTACGCTCAATGCTCTTTTCCTTATCCTGACTCACAGCCTTTGTGCCCGAGAGTTAGTACGTTTTGAGTCAAGGGTGTTCATATTCTACTAGTGCCCTGGTGCACGGATTCGTGCACACCGAAAGGAAATTAATTAGAAGGTGGTCGGCAGGGCGGGACCGGGCTAGAGGGCCGGACACACCCCGGAGCCAACCTCTAGCGGTTCCTCCCGGGGCCGGTTGCACCTGGGGCAGCCACACAGCTTGAAGGTCATGTGCGGAGTGAGCGGGGGTCCCTCCGGCAGGTGGGGTCCCTGGGCCTGGCCTGCAGGGATTGGGCTGAAACTGGCTCTCTGACATCCCCCAAGGGGTTCCGGATTGTGAGGGTGGTTCTTGGGTGACGCACCCTGGAATCGGGCTCCCTCCTCTCTGGTTCCAGGGTGCGTCACCGGGGAATTGCCACTGCCAAGTCACTGCAGCTCAGCAGCTCCTGCGTTGAGCATCTGCCCCCTGGGGGTCAGTGCACGTCATACCTACCAGCCGGTCGGATGGTCGCTTAGCCTTTTATATATATAGATAGGCACTGAGTTGACATATAGGTGAAGACACCTAAGGGAAGACATACTTTTTTTTTTTTTTTAATCTTTTTATTGATTTCAGAGAGGAAGGGAGAGGGAGAGAGAGATAGAAACATCAATGATGAGAATCATTGATCTGTTGCCTCTCACACACCCCCTACTGGGGACCGAGCCTGCAACCCAGGCATGTGCCCTTGACCAGAATTGAACCCCAGAACCTTTCAGTCTGTAGGCTGATGCTCTATCCCAGTGGTTCTCAACCTTCCTAATGCCACGACCCTTGAATACAGTTCCTCATGTTGTGGTGACCCCCAATTTCATTGTTACAAATTGAACATAATTAAAGCATAGTGATTCATCACAAAAACAATATGTCATTATATATGTGTTTTCCGATGGTCTTAGGTGACCCCTGTGAAAGGGTCGTTCAACCCCCAAAGGGGTCGCGGCCCACAGGTTGAGAACCGCTGCTCTATCCACTGAGACAAACCAGCTAGGGCAGGGCAGACATGCTTTTAATCTTCAGAAAGAAACAGGCGGTGGGGACAGACACTCCTATAAGCCTTCTGATCCTCGCCCCGTACAAGTGGTCCCCAGGAGGAATGCAGCCTGTGTGAGGGGAGAGGGGGGTCAGGCAGGGACGGAATGGGGGCAGGGGTCTAGCCCAAGTTCCTCTCTGGGATTCAGAGTAGATTCCTGACCCTTCCGGTGGGAGCCGGGGCCTGCGGTTTGGTGAGACATTCTGGGCAGTGCCACCGAAGTGCTCCAGGCTCCACCCCTCACGCAAGGAGGATGAAACCAAACCTGGACCTGCTGGTGCATGACAGGAGCCCCTTGGAGAGCACCCCTGGATTTTGGGAGGAAGGCCCCATCCTACCATGGGGGTACCTACAGGTTGGTTCTAGATTTCAACTCTGAGTGACTATTTTTTCTAGACCATTATCACTACACTAGAGGCCCAGTGCATGAAGTTCTGGATGGGTAGGGTCCCTAGGCCTGGCCAGCGATCAGGGCTGATCTGTGGGGTGACAGGTAGGGCGATCGGGGCGGGGGGAGGCCCCCACTGGCACCCGCCTTGTCTGGCCTGGGGCCTGTGGGCTGGGGGCAGCTCCTGCATTGATCATCTGCCCCCTGGTGGTCAGTGAGTGTCATAGCGACCTGTTGTTCCACTGGTGGTTCAGCCGTTGGGTCGATTTGCCTATTAGGCTTTTATTATATAGGATTGCATTTAAGATCCCATCCAGAAAGGACTCTCTAAGATTCAAAATGTAAGTCAGGAGGCCAAAATTGGGCCAATACAAGAATAAAAAAAGAGAAGAAACAGAATTGAAAGGCTGGATCAGAATGCATTCCACCTAATAACAGTAAGCATTGTTTCATAAAATTTCTGTGTAAGACACACACACACACAGCCCTGGCTGGTGTGGCTCAGTTGGCTGGATGTTGTCCCGTGCACCGAAAGGTTGCCAGTTTGATTCCCAGTCAGGGTACATGTCCAGGTTGCAGGCTTGATCCCTGGTAAGTGGGTGTTCAGGAGGCAGCTGACTGAAGTCGCACTCTCACATCAATGTTTCTCTCTCTTTAAAAAAAATCAATTAAAAACACACACACACGCGTATGCAGTCATGATGTAAAATGTGTTTTGTGCTGTGGGTCATGCTCCACAATACCCAGAAGCCCCTGCAGCAGATGCTTTGACACCTTTTATTCATATTTAAAAGGAGATAGTGAAGCAGAAAATGTGAAAAAGTCAGTTGAGAGTGCGACGGTTAGGGAAAAGTGAACAATTGTGATGAGAAATCTACTCCCGTCCCCCTAGCCATCGAATAAAATTTTGGAGGATTATCAATCTATAGATACCTTTTTAAATTAAAAAAATGTGTGTAAATATCCAATGTGAAAACACACGGGAAAGTGCTAACAGAAACCCAAGGGCCAATATAAACGTGGGACCTTTTTTTTCTGTGATGAATTCCAAGAAGATGAGCTCATTTTATTTCCTCTAAGCCAGCCTGACTGTGCCTATCCCGGAAAAAAAAATCGGGAGTTGTCAATTCTTTTTTTAAAATATGTATTTTTTAATTGATTTCAGAGAGGAAGAGAGAGGGAAAGCTAGAAACATCAATGATGAGAGAGAATCATGAATCCGCTGCCTCCTGCACGCCCCCCCCCCCGCCCCACTGGGGATCGAGCCCGCAACCTGGGCATGTGCCCTGTTTAGGAATCAAACCAGCTACCTCCTGGTTCATAGATCGATGCTCAACCACTGAACCACACTGACCGGGCAGGAGTTGTCAATTCTTAAACCTCCCAAACGAATTGAAAATGTGTAGGTCACTTTTTAATAGCAGTCTAAATGAATGCCACGCTACCTCTATCATTATTTTAACCACGAAGAGCCAGGAGAAAATGATCTTTGCAGTTTGCAACCACACTTTATTCTAAGAGCAATGATTCGTGCTTCTTCCCTATTCAGAATCAGTATGCACAGTATCAAAGGGGCTTGTTTTTCAAAAATTCCTTATTGTTGAAAGTATTACATATGTCTGCTTTTCCCCCCATTGACCTCTCCCCAGTCATTCCCACCCCCCAGCACATGCCCTTACCCCCCTACTGTCTGTGTCCATGGGTTCTGCTTACATGCATGCATACAAGTCCTTTTTAAAAAAATATATTTTATTGATTTTTTTACAGAGAGGACGGGAGAGGGATAGAGAGTTAGAAACATCGATGAGAGAGAAGCATCGATCAGCTGCCTCCTGCACACCCCCTACTGGGGATATGCCCGCAACCAAGGTACATGCCCTTGACCGGAATCGAACCTGGGACCCTTGAGTCCGCAGGCTGACGCTCAATCCACTGAGCCAAACCGGTTAGGGCTGCATACAAGTCCTTTGGTTGATCTCTCACCCCCCTTCCCCCTGCCTTCTCTCTGAGGTTGGATGGTCTGTTCGATGCTTCTATGTCTCTGGCTCTATTTTAGTTCATCAGTTTATGTCGTTCATCATATTCCACAAATGAGTGAGATCATGTGATACGGGTCTTTCTCCGACTGGCTCATTTCGCGTAGCATCATGCTCTCCAGGCCCATCCATGATGTTGCGAGTGGTAAGAATTAAAGGGGCTTGTTTTGGGGTCTGTCTTTGAACTGCCTTCTTTGTGAAGGGCGTCTGCCTCTGTCCTAATTCATTATAGGATTCGATAGCTGATGTGAGTTGCGTTGGTCAGGTGAAGGCAAGACCAGAGCCCGCCACTAGGTGGCGAAGCAGACTTGGAGAACAGCCTACCCACAGGCAGGTGCCAAGGCGAAGGCCGCAAGGAGCCCCAAGGTGGTGATCAGATTCCCAGCTTAGTTCAGCCACGCTGTCCGTCCGGTCAACAAACCCTCCGTAAGCTAATGTGTCCTTCAAGAGGGTAAGATGCGTTCGGACTTGCACAGTCAGAATCTGACTTGTTAACTCCGGCTACTCGTGCCAAGCTGCCAGGAGGGAAGACGTGCCCTAATATGGTGCCGTTGCTCATGTTGCGAACAGAACATTCCAGGTCGCCAGCACCGGAACAGCATTCAATCCCTTTAACAAGGAGAAGCTTGCTTTTAAAAGTGCCCTGCTGCCTCCTTTCACAGTTTTATTCCATTTGACCACAAAGGGAAGGGTGCTGGGAATAGTGCTGTGGAGCACGCCAGCTGCTGCGGAAACACCACGCATTCCCTCAGACACACACGCCAACGGGCCTCCTGGTTATTCTGCATCCGCACCACGAAGAATAAAACCTTTTGTTATTAGAATTTCTAGAGACGTAGCAGTACAAGGAAAAACGCATGGAAAGCCATTCTTTTTTATTTTTTTTATAGTTGTTTTATTTATTTATTTTTTAAAATATATTTTTGTTGATTTCAGAGAGGAAGGGAGAGGGAGAGAGAGATAGAAATATCAATGATGAGAGAGAATCATTGATTGGCTGCCTCCTGCAGGACCTCCACTGGGGATCGAGTCCGCAACCTGGGCATATGCCCTGACCGGGAATCGAACCGGTGACCTCTTGGTTCCTGGGTCGACGCTCAACCACTGAGCTACACCTGGCTGGGCAAAGCCGTTCTTTTTTTTTTTTTTTAAATATATTTTATTGATTTTTTTACAGGGAGGAAGGGAGAGGGATAGAGAGCCAGAAACATTGATGAGAGAGAAACATCGATCAGCTGCCTCCTGCACACCTCCCACTGGGGATGTGCCTGAAACCAAGGTACATGCCCTTGACTGGAATCAAACCTGGGACCC